TCAGTAACATAGTTGATCCAAATTGCGTAATGTACATGCCAAAACTTTTCTTGAACAAGGAATCTGTCGATAGTTTGATATATCATGAAACAAAACCTTTCTTTCGGCACGGCCGAGTCATATCTCCACGGGTCTCGCCGCAAAATTGTGCGGAAACTTTTTGCGGTTGGAAAACATCATTTGACAGATTGAAATCTGTACCGAGATCCCGCTCTATATTGATCTTGGCCTTGTTTGTTCGCTCCATAATCCGATTTGGGATTTACGTCAGAAAATAACTTGGTACATTCGTATTATCTTACATCCTTAACTTTTATCTGTGACATTTCTTTGCCATTGAAAGGTAATCCTTATACGAAAATCTTATGTAAGTAGATTCCCATTGGTTTCTTAGGCAAAACTCTTCTTAAGGCTATCGTTTTATCAACATTTGTGCTCTTTTGAATATTTCTAGTAAGTACTTTGATTCAAGCAGTGAACGATTTGCCGGTTAATAGCTGCGAAAAATGAATGGGTACTTAACACTTAAATCTATAAATCAGGTTTATTGCCAGATTTGTAATTGAATTCGAGTGGCGATAGAAATATTGGCCATAGAGTAATGGGCTCGTTTAACATAAATTAGGACAGGAACTAAAATGGTGTCAGCAGGACCGCGGCTGGCGCGCGGGCGCGCGTTCTCTGCCAAATTGCCCTGTTCGCTTATCATCGGGATTACATACTAGGGCTGTGGCTTTATAAAGCAAAAATGTAAAGAAAAGTCACCTTTATGAAAAGACACATTGACTAAATAAATATGTACAACATTGAGGCGAGGGAATCAATAGATTTAGGCTGAGCTGCACCACCTAACTTTAACGGTAACTATAACGATAACCGGTGCTTTTTGTATAGAGTTTGACAGATTTTTGACGTTTGTCAAAGTTAAATTAGAATGGTGCAACCCAGCCTTAATGTTATACTGAGCACGGATGGAAACTTTCAAGTTTCTACACATTAACGTTTAGCTTAAGCTTCATGACTTCTTTCAGTCATGTTTGAACTACAGCTAAAGTACGTTTTGTAAATGGTGAATACCTACTTAGCCAGCCGTAGAAACAACTGGGAAAATAAGTTGTATCAAAAATATATTTATACTTTGCTGTCAGCCCTGTATCCTGTAATATTACGGGGGAGTACGAATTTTATATAGTCACACCACACACAATAATATGATGCCTCACATAGTGCGTCAGATATACGTCCCGAAAGACTGGCAGGCCAAAGGTCGATTCTTTGATCGCAGTTTACGCGAAAGTAACTGCGATTATACGCGCCCGTGGCCTTAATCCGGATTAGGCTTAGTAAATGGATTGGATACTGGATTATCTTGGATGTTGAGCAAACATTTTGTCAATCGTCATTTGTTTCAAGCGATCACGTCTCAAACTTGGAGGAAATAGAATGTTTAATCAGTATTGATATTTTGACAGTGGGAATCCCTGCTATTTTTTTAAAATAAGGTAATTTTTTTAATGTAAAGGTTATGATGCATTTTTTGTTCATCAACATAAGATTGAAATAATATAAAGTTTCTTAATGTTAAAAGGTAAAGCTAACTTTTCCCGTTTTCCTAAGAAAAAGTATTTGTGATAATTTGTCTGATTCGACTCGTGTCAACTGTGAACAATTACTGAACAAGCTATTTTTAACACCGTACCTACACAGAAGTCCGTGGGTGTTACAGAAATAACTTACGTTTATCTCTATAATTCAGCTTTTTCTTGAGAAAATAGAAAACAACATTTTAAGAAAGTAATAAGATTAATCATTGAATTGTTTCAAACGTCTACTTTAACTTTATCTATTTAAAATCTTTATCTTTCTTCTAATATCTTGTCATTTAAAAATTTTCTCTATGTATTTTCCTATACGAAACTTTCCAGCTCTTTCCTATTACGCTGCCATGTTGCATTTCTATCTGGGATGCATTCAAAACGTTTCCGCCGCATATTTTTTTTATAAAATTGTGGATTTTTCCAGGCCAAAGCGCTTAAGGGAGTTGATGACTTGGAAAGCATTGGTCTGTCCGCTCGATTTGCACTGCAAATTGATTTTTATGTCGATCGGTACCATCCTGGATGCGTGTTTGTCATCTGGGAATCGTTGTGGGAACTGCTTTTGTAATGGCGGATTGGTAATCGGAAATATAGCTTTTTCTAAGAAAAACGTATCTTCCCATTAGGGAAATATGAATTCTAACACTTTAAGGCTGGATTGCACCATCTTACTTTAACAGTAACTATGTACTAGTGCATTTTGTATGGAGTTTGATAGATTTTTGACGTTTGTTAAAGTCAAAGTGAGATGGTGCAACTCAGCCTAAGGATGCTACTTGTCTTCACGAAATCCATGATAAAGCAATAGAACACCCACGCGGCCACGTGATATTGTAACAATATGTATAAATTCATCCGATTAAAAAAATTCTCCCTGAGAGGTTTGGTTGCCGTTAAACAAAAAAAAGAAGAACAAATATTGATAAGGATAAAACAAGGTAGAAATGGGTTATTCCATCAAACTTTAAAATAAAAAAAAAATCCTAACACGATCATTTTTTGCGGTATATCCTCCCTCGTCGAAGGTTGGTTTTCCAGGTCGATTCAAGTCCATTACCACGTAGCCATCGGATGTTTTTACGAGTTTAGGGTTTAGGCATGTGCGAGCAATTACAGAGAATATAGGCCTATTACTTATAGGCAGTTATGCTTATGATTTTCTTTGAAATTTTAAGATTTTCCTTCAATGCATTAATACCAATTAATATTAATTACTTACGTACTAAAATGAAATTTTTTCACTTGATGATTTTTTTTGCAGAAAGTTATAAAGCATTTAAGTATAGCACACTTAGGGAGTCATCAATTCCTCTATATGAAGTTCTGAATAAGGGTTCCGTTTTTTGCCATTTGGCTACGGGACCTTAAAAAGTATAAACGTATTAAATATCATACAGTCTTGGTCAGTCCGTCCAATTTCAGTAAATAGCAAATTCATGCAGGTAACGATATCAGTGAGTTCAAAATATCCAATTGATGTAATGAAATCTAGGTAGGTATGTATGTATCTACAATTCATCCAATTAGTTAATTCAACGCAGTAGATATCATATTTCGGTCTTGGATTTGTTAAAGCAATTAACAAAATTAATTAGGCCTTAAAGTAGAAATTGAAGCATTTGTATTCCGCTGTAATCTATATATATAAAAGAAAGTCGTGTTAGTTACTTCGCTTATAACTCAAGAACGGCTGAACTGATTTAGCTGAAAATTGTCAGGGAGGTAGTTTAGAGCCAGGAGAAGGACATAGGATACTTTTTATCCCGTTCGAAATAAAAAAAAAGTCTGCTTATTTATTGCCATTAAGGCGGAACAAAGATCGCCGGGTCAGCTAGTTGGTGATATAACAAACGTTTAGATTAGAATAGCTAGGTACGCCCACATCTTTAGATGTTTCTGTCAAGAGTTAGTCTCGAAGGTAACCCTAGACATTTCTTATAGTCGGGGTACTAAGTATAATGAAATTCCTTCATAGCACTAACGTACTTACCTACTTTTAAGTACTTACGTTAACAAAGACATTTCGCTGGCTGGGCTGTATAGCTGTTCCTTTTGAGGCAGCAAAACCCGTAGGTCGGCTTCCTGGGTTGCTATAATCGTGGCTCGTTCTACGCCTTGGCTCCTCGCTTACAAAGAAAATCTTGCCTGCTACCGCTTTTCCGTATCAAAAACGTCGGCGCTTGTGTGAGTGGTTCTTTTTAACGCGAAAATCTGCGTGCCGCGCTCTTGTTTATCCCTTTAGCACAGAATTTTCGGAATCTGTTCCGAGGAAGGGTAAGCAAATACCTTGTATTGGAAAATGTTTAGGCCTGCATTTGTCAGTGGACATTCTTATGATGGGTCCCGGAAAGTCTAAACAAATGTTTAATATTATTTATAGGTAAGCTTTTCTGCATTATCTTTTCAGAATTAATACGAGTAATGATGTCCATAATACCTTATGCCTTGATTTTCAGGTTTAGGTAGTATAAATATTATTTGATCGGCACATTTTTGCCTAATCTTTTCTCTCAGGAGTTTTTGTCATTTACTTCTGTATCGCCCTTAGATTCTTAAATCTAAATGTCTTGAAAAGTAACTAAGCGTAGCTATAATATAATAATCACTAAGCAGAATTAACATTCAGTGTATCTTTCAGACTTCTACTTTCGTATGACTTGACACAGTTTGGCGTGGCTACAACAAAACTGGCGTGCTAATGCCACTCAGTAAGGTAATCCCCATCGAACAAGCATTTGTTACGTGCACGTTACGTACTCCAAAGTACGTGATTCCGTCGCCAAGCACGCGATTAGTGAGATTTATACGAGCCCATCAGACATAACAGGTATCCCTCAAGAGTGACGTATCGGGGCATTTCTCGACGTCGCGCTCTTCCGGCGCGGACTCACGAATATATCATCTCCCATTGTCATCTAAGCCAATTGACGATGATTTTTCACGTACCCTACAAGTTGAGCTTTCATTCTTTATTGCGAGTAAATGGGTCTCTATAAAGCTAACTTTTCTATCAGGCTTACGTATCAATAAAGAGGTAGAACTGATTTTGGTTCCAACTTCCTGGAGTAATAGCTTCAAAAATTTATGGTAAAAAATTTATTGATTCAACATACTTAACTAGTTAGGAGTTAAAGTCAACAAATACGCACCCATAATGTAATGTAGTGTCTAAATACCATTTGCCTTAATTCCATTCCACGACTGTTACAATAATGTTTGCAATTATGGCGATTGTATCAAATATGGAATGTTGATTACGGTTTGTTGATTCGTGGAATAGTTCACTAATTTTCACTACGTTGAGTTACAATGTGTTGTTAGAAAATGTCCTACTATTATTACAATTGTGTCAGGATTTGATTGTAGGGAAGAATAAATTAAAACCACTTTTTAGATTATTGTAAAAATTGTGATATATTCTTTGTTAAACTATGAATATTTAACTGTACAAAATACATAGTGTGTCTAATTTACAATTAATATTAATTAACAAAATATAATAATAATAATTATACAAAACATTATTCGATGGCAGGCGACGACCTATCATTTGTTAGCGTCTTCCGTAGTTTCACCGTTGCAAACTGCTGGGGTCTGTACAAAAAATAAATGTTGTGAGTTACTAAATAGTCACATTAATAAATAGTGTTTTATGACAAATACTTTGAAACGTAAAAAGTAAAGACAAGATCCATTAAGTCTCTGCAAACAGAAAAATAGCTAGTAACAGGTACACGTTTTGTGTTATTACTCAGTGTCGCAAGTTTAATTTATCAGAATCACGAGTTTCAATGTAATAATGAGACGAAGATAATAAGCGTAAATTGTAAACCCTAGCACAATATCGTTTATGATGTAATTTGCAAATTACTTTTGTCAAAGGGTTGTCTGTAGTGTAATTAATAATACTTACGGTAATAGGTGTGGATATAACTAGAAGAAGAAAAATAACAGAATAAATAAAAAATAACGGACCTGTTACACTACTTGTAGACCGCAGTCTCCCGTCCCCACAAATCGTACCACGGACCAAACGTGTGGCCTTCCTCAGGCAAGTCGTTTCCCTCCGCTGACCTCTTCAGCAGTTTTGTACGAGGGAGCAACTGCGGCCTTTGCTGCTTCAGTGCCTCATTGAACTTCTGGTCATCTGATTCACTGTATGGACCCTCACTCCTCCGATCAATAAAACGCCTCGCTTCTAGCTTCGCCTCTTCCTGGCGCATTTTAGACTTCTCTGCTTTCTTTGAATCCGTCTCATAATCGTAACGAGAAACACGCCGTTCTTGATCACTGAAGTATGAAATATTCGACTCGTAGTATCTCTCTTCTCTTCGCCCATTGTAAGGTAGAGAACTGTCATCGTAACTCCTATTTGCTCTGCTCTTGCTTCGAGGATTTGTCTTTGTTTCTGAAAACTCTCTCTTCGTTTGGCGTCTATCCAATGAATAATCGATACGTGGCTCTCGGCTTTCATAAGACCGGGGCTCTTTCTTCGGAGACCGAGCTTCAGCTTGTGGGTATTCTTTCTTGTAATTCTTTCCATTCTCCAAAGTATTCTGTTGACGGTTTTTCTCTTCTTTGCTAGAGCGTTTTTTATATTTCAGAGTTCCTTCGTCATGACCGTTGTAATGGTCTTCATTTTGTATGTCATTATTATTACGTTCAGAAGGTATTCCGTAGCGGTCTGTGCGTTGTTCATTATCCTTGTATTTCAAGGTTTCAGATGAAGCTGAGAATGTTTTGACTTCCTTTGAATTGTCTTTGAAGGTTTTGAACTCCATAGTTTTTGGTGGACTCCGTTCGTGCGAATTTTTCTTGACCTTCTCCGATGATATTGTAGCACGAACATGTGGTTTGATTGGAGTCACTTCAATCTCTTCAAATTCCGGCATATAGGCGTTCTCTTTCCTTTTCTTTACTTCTTCATCTATCATTTGAGCCTGTCGACGTCTATCAAGTTCTTGTTGCTTCCCAGATGTCATGTGATCATCTACAATAATGCAGTCATATGGATCAGTACTTGAAGCAACAGAATTAACATCAGAGCTGCTGTCGTTATCATATCTTTGTAAAATCTCTCTGCGCTTAACAGTTTTCATCACAAAGCCCTCTCCACTCTCGTCATTGTAAAAGCTATTTTCAAAGTTAGTTTTGATGGTACTTGTGTTGGTCAAATCAGAATGTCTAGATTCGTTCCTGGGGACAAATTCCTCTTGCTTCTCTTCAATGATATGTTTTTCAGACATACTCTTCTTATTCATGGCTTGATTCTGCTGCTTGTAGTTTTCATTCACTTTTCTGACTTTTTCCAAGTTTTCTTCATTTTGTATGGAGCCCATACTTCTAGCCTGGCGGATGCCATTGGTAACTTTCATTTCTTTTCTGTCAATCGTTTCTTTGGGTCGTTGGGACGGCATGTCATCAAGTGGTGGTGATTTTTCGGGGCTTGCTGTCTTTCTTATTTCTGGAATCTCCGGAGCTGGCCTCAATTCCTTCTTCATTTTAACGAACAATTTTTTCTTGTATTCGGGTACAGTATCAACAATATCACGGTGTTGCCAAAGGGACATGCCTTCCATTATCTCTTCCGAAGTCGTGCGTCCAAACTTCCAGAATGACTTCGTTCGCTTCACTCTCTGAGAATCTTTGTCCATGTCTAGCATGTTACGAAGCATCAGCTGCTGATCATCTGTCAAGTACCCATTAGTGGTGTTCTGGTTTGGTTTCGGTCCGCGTTTGAGACTTTGAGTTTTTAGCAAGTACGCTTTATGTTCATTGGCTTGCTGAGCAGATTTACTAAGAGGAGAAAATAAAAATGGAAAAATAAATGAAAGTGTAACTAAACTACAAACATAAAATACTATAGCAACTAAATGTAATAAGCGTAACTACTTACAAAAAGGTGTTTTGAGATTTTACCTGATGGGTACACGTAACCTTTGGGCTTCCTCATCGCTGTAGTCAATGTCGGGCTGCGGCGGCGGCTCGTTGGAGAAGCCCGAATCGTTGGAGCTGTGGAGCGACACATTACCGGCAGCGCCTACCACTGCTACTGCAGTTTTGGCTGGGCCTGCTTTGTTTTGTGCCACCTGGGATAAAGGGAGTGATAGCTGATTAATTAATTTTATTACGATGTAAGAATATAAAGCCGCATTCAGTGAAGTCTCCATGTATAGTGTTATCAAGAAAAAAAAAACGATTAATTGCATATTATCAACATTGAAGATCTAAACCGAAACAAATCAAGAGACGAACATTAGCAAATGATCATAACACAAGCTTTTGATACAAGTAGGGTCAGGGAGGCAACAGTGACTCACTTTTTTTTCGAAGCTTAATAAAAATAGATATCGCTTTAATATTGGCCTAAAATTTGCTCACATTTTAGATACACTATTGAACTGTAACTGAGCACTCATGATTCTACATTATTTACTACTTATGTCAAAGTAGGAACCTAAAACAAAAAAATGATAATTGAGTCACTGTGGACTACTAGGTGTACACACTGACTCACTACCGTGGTACACAGTATTAACGTGGTAAGGCAGTATTTATATGAAAAGAAAATGCCCATTCCGCGTAGTTTTTTATTAGAAATAATAACAAAACTGCACAAGCTATTCTTATTATAATCAACAATTCAACACGACTCTTAGTACTTTTATTGCTACCTATAAGATCTTAAGTCATCTCAATCTCTTCGTTAATTATTTCTTCCCTATTTTTCTGTCGGTCTTTTTCCGTGGCATTCTGTAAATAAAAACAAAAATCGATTTACAGTTATAAAATATTGAATTCGTATAAAGTATTAAAATTGAGTCACTGTGTACTTCTACGCCATTTTGTAAATATTTGATCAAAAAAACCAAGATGTAAAACAAATTAGTCAAAATTCGGATTAAAGACAATTGATACAAGACCTACTATCCGATAAATATAACGGCTATTACCTATAGCAACAAACAAAGATATGAAAACAATCGAAACTCACCTTAGAATGTAATTTAGAGGGCGCGAAAACAAAAAACATTCCCTCACCCTTCCGCACGGCACTTGACCGGCGAGCAAACTGGTTTAAACGTGTTCGGGTACAAAGACCTTTGAATCGGTAAAAGAGACAAATATATATTCCTATGCCTTCAGGTCGAAACATGACTGAGCCACTGTAGCCGACCGAGTCACTGTTGCCTCCTTGACCCTATCCTACTCCATCTATATACCTGAGAGCGCATGGGCAGCGTCTGGGGTCCGAAGCTGCGGGTCTCAATCACCGCGTGAGTGGTGAAGCTGGCTGATGACGTGGAGTTCTTGATAGCTGTTCCTGGAGCTGACGGAGTGGATGCGTGGAACGTGGCGCTGGCTGACGAACTCAGAGCGCTGGGCGACGGAGCCGGGAGGGTCGGCGGCAGGCCCGGTGAGCCGCTGCCTAGGCGACCCTGGTCGAGATTAAACTACTTTTGTAAATAAAATCCAAAAGCTTTACCGTAATGAAAAAATGAGGATTCCAACAGGCAAGGATTGGACATGGTTATCATTGTTCTTTCTATAAATGCATCTTCCAGGCTTTCTTCATGAAAAGACAGAAATTTTCTTTTCATGGATTACTTTTCGTGTATGACATTCTTTTAGCTTTTATAAGTTGCGTGGGTGGGAACTTTTATAATTTTACAGCATAAGAATAGAGCCTAAAGTGTCTCTGTAACTCTGTTAGACCATTTACTTTTTTATGTATGAAAACCTATACCTGAAAGGTTGACTGGGCATGAACCTTTGTACCTATTATCATAAAAATAGAGACTACTTTTATGTATAATTGTTAACAATATACCTACAGCTGAAAGGTCGACTGGGGGTAAACATTTTTACCTTATCAGCATAAGAATAGAGGCTAAAATACCTTTGTAACGTGATGCGCAGTGACTGTGTCCCCGAACATACGCGGCGGCGGGTGCGAATGCGGGTGCGCAGTGGCGGGCGTACTGGGCGTAGTCTGCGCATGGGCCACCGGCGCGGGCGGCGGCGCCTCGCTCGGTGTTTGGGCGCAGCTCCAGCGAGCTGGTGAGCTGCCGCTGCAAAGGATTAAGCCTTTGAATTGTGTTAATTTCTCCTACGCCTGCTAAAAAGATCATTGGGTATCTGTGCGCAGCTATAGTGAGCTGGCGAGCTGCTGCTGCAAACGATTCGCGATCTTATTGCCTTTGGTTATAAAGTTACTCTTAAACCTGCTAAAGATCTAAAACTGCTGTAGTAGTATAAAATATGTCTATGAGATGTGATTATGTGGCTACTTCAGATTGACAAATACTCAGTATTTGTTTTATACATAGAATATTTGTCTACACTACGGTTACATATAAACTTTGTAGCCTTATCACCTTCGTCGTTAACATTGGGGAAGGATCTATGTTCAGCTGTGAATGTCATAATGACTGAAATGATGATGTTGAAAACAGCTTGGAAACCAGTCCACCTGCTATGAGTAAAGGTTCTCTTTGTGCTACTAATCCTTGGTGCTCTCTCCGAGCAGAGCGAGCATATCTCTCTACTGAAAGCTGAGCTGAATGAAGCTACTCACATGATGTCATCGTTAGCGATCGGCTCGGTGTAAGCCAGCGGGAACCAGCCCGCCTGGTGGGAGCGTAAGTTCTCTCCGTACTGCCAGCCCTTGGTCCTCTCTCCGAGCGTTGCGAGCATTTATCCCTGTTGGAAGCTGAGCTGGACAAAGCTACTTACATGACGTCATCGTTAGCGATCGGCTCGGTGTAAGCCAGCGGGAACCAGCCGGCTTGATGCAAGCGTAAATTCTCGCCGTATTGCCAGCCCTTGGTCCTCTCTCTGAGCAGGGCGAGCATGTCTCTCTGCTAGAAGCTGAGCTGAATGAAGCTACTCACATAACGTCATCGCTAGCGATCGGCTCGGTGTAAGCCAGCGGGAACCAGCCGGCCTGGTGCGAGCGTAAGTTCTCTCCGTACTGCCAGCCCTTGGTGCTCTCTCCGAGCAGAGCGAGCATGTCTCCCTGCTGAAAGCTGATCTGAATGAAGCTACTCACATAACGTCATCGTTAGCGATCGGCTCGGTGTAAGCCAGCGGGAACCAGCCAGCCTGGTGCGAGCGTAAGTTCTCTCCGTACTGCCAGCCCTTGGTCCTCTCTCCGAGCAGAGCGAGCATGACTCCTTGCTGGAAGTTGAGCTATATCAAGGTACTCACATGACGTCATCGTTAGCGATCGGCTCGGTGTAAGCCAACGGGAACCAACCCGCCTGGTGGGAGCGTAAGTTCTCTCCGTACTGCCAGCCCTTGGTCCTCTCTCCGAGCAGAGCGAGCATATCTCCCTGCTGGAAGCTGAGCTGGTTGTCTCCAGCCGCGGCATATGCGTATAGAGCACGTGCCAGTGGCGGATCACGTGTCGTGCAAGTTGGTGGAGCCAAAGAAGATGGACGGGTCGCGATGCGGGTGTCAGTATCTGGTGGAAACCGGATTTATTAACATTTTGGGATTGGAAATCATCAGTTTCGGTCCTCTTTTATTCTAGTGATCCAATTTGTTTCCAACTACGGCAAACGAACCGTTCTATTATACTTAAATCCCTAATGTTTGTTTTTATTCCAAATGATTATTATAAACATTAGTTTCAGACTTGTAGAGGTCTTAGTAAAGTAGTAAAGGTAAAAAGTTAATTGCGTGGCTTGTTATAATATTTAGGTTGAGAAATTACGAGTGTTTATTTTAGGTGTTTTTTAACTTTTGTATCCTCGAAGGTATAACAAAACAACCCGAATGTCTGCTATTAAAAACGTTTGCTACATATTTTTTACGCTATATTCGTTGGACAGGGCCGCGTTCTTTCTTACGTTTGTAATCGAATGACTATAAAGTATACCATACTTTACCTGGCTCATCAGCATGGATGCTGGTCTGCAAGTTGAAGTCAGATTTAGCGCGGGACAGCCCCTGAGCAGGGGAGCCGAGCTCGCCAATAGAACGCACGTCCAGGCATGAAGCGTCCACCGATCTGGTCTTCCTCAAGGCAGAGCCGACGGAAGCGCGGTCGTCGTCATCACCAGCCCTGGGGCTGGCGTAGATGTCCTCGTCAGCCCAGAAGGATACTTGCTGTATGAACAAAGGTACAGAATCTTGAATAGGTACCTAATTATTGGGTTAAGTTTTCGTTGGGGTTTAGGGAGGCCTTTCCGCAGCACCAGAAAAGCAAAATAACATTATCGGTTATCTTTCAAGATGAAGATAATAGCATGACGAATTGGTGTGTCATCTAGCGCTTAAATGCTTACTTAATGAAGCAAATAGGCATGAAATGCTATTACCTAGATCGACCTGAATTACTTAATACTTTTAGAAATGTTTTCTCATTTCAGAGAGAACGATTGAATTTTTAAACAATCAAACCGTTTTACTACCAAGGCCGTATTATTTCAATCGCTAATGTTCCCAAGAGTAATTATTGAATAACGTAAGTAGTAACGGAACATTTTCACTCAAGCAATTTTCAATTAACCTTTTCGTAGGTACCTAATCATTTAACAATTTGCAACCACATACCTACAAAGGTCAAATTATTCTATTCAAATGTAGTCTGAGCTTAATAGAAGATCGAGTATGCAACCAATGAGACGTTATGTCTACTTGTAGGAGGTTCAATAATTCATGTATATTCTGATATTGAGAATAGAGGTCATGGAGGATAAGTAACTTATGTTATGTCTAGACGATACGATATTCTATTAATTAGTGTGTCTTAAGTAATTTTATTACTAAATCTACTAAGACTAATAGATTCAATTAAGACTGAAATCATTAGGTACCTATTATTAACTACTCATCAGGTTAAAATCATAAACTCATCAGGTTAGTATTCAGTACAAGGTATAAGGGACAGAATTCAAATTGACAGGATCAAGTCACACAATATTTTAATTGTATATTCCAATCGATTTTCGTTCCACAATTTTGCAAAAATAACAGCCTGGCAATCCCAAAAAACCTTAAAGTAGTTTTGGAACAATATTACTGGCACTAAAAAAACGTACCTAATTGCATGGCTTTTATTTAATTTATCTGGCTAGATGAAAAAATGAGTGAGTTAAGAATTTCATTTCCAGAAAAAAAACTAAATGTTGATGAAATAAAACAATATTTCGCCACAATTTATGGCAACCTCCCCTTTTAGCCAAAAGTCAGTTCGGAGAATCTAGCCCAAACACAAATATGGCTTTTGCGTCGCCAGACATCTCGCTTGGTATGCATCTCGAGCTTTGATGTCTCGTAGTTAGCGTGCCTTTGTTAGCAGCTGCCTTTGAAGCACTAGCAATGCGACTATTGACACTAGTGCATTAAAAATTGATCTCACAATTTAGGTATTCTAGATGTCTCAAATATTCCGAACAATTTTCCAAATAATGTCTTAAAAATCTTCAATTTAATCAAGTTCGTAATGCGTAACAAAAAGCTATTACTGGCTTTGCACGAAACAATGACTTTCTATTACTGTACAATAGGTATTCAATTTGTCTCGTAACATGACCACAAAAAATGACCGCCATGACCACACTTGTTGAACCGGTTAAACATTTATCAACAGCAACAAAATCAAATATTGAATAACGAAATCGGGAATCGATTTGTCGTGTCCATAACCATAACAATTTCGCCGGCTCAGTGATTTTCTTTTGCGTTTATTTACGCAATGCAATTTTGACACAATTGCGGTGTTTATCCAGTATTTTCGACGAATATGAGATTTAAATGGTGCGTACGCGATAAAGGAGCTCGTAAAAATAATTCCATGTTAGTGGGAATTCATTTTTATGGGATATCACGACAAGAATGGGCGGGATATGTATGAGGCAAGTAATGTCAAGTCTGCACAAATAAATATTTAAAGACCTGTATGAAAAGGTTACCTTTGTAATGCGAATTTATCATAATAATATTTTCTCCAGAAAGGAATTGAAAATTTCTCTCTTTACTTTGGACTCGTTAACTTCATCAGGAGATTCTATATTCTACGTAAGTACATTATTATTCTATGATTCCATTCCATTTTATAACCTTCAATGGACGAAATGAAATAAAAATAAATGTTATTTGATTTAGGTTTGACCAAGATTAGGCACAAATGGTTGCGGGAAACCGCTAAATTCAAACTCTGGCGTTCTTTACGGGTCTATTTCCGGACTACTAGGTGCTGACGATGATAATAATTGACTTACCCTCATCCTGCTGACAAACATGGCCTCCACGTTGGGCGGGAGATACTCCCTAGTCCTGGAGACTTCAAGCCACTCATCCAGGCCAGTGTTGTAGGCCGTGGCTCCAGCAGTGTGATAAGCCAACCAGTGCTTAGCCAGCGAGCACTGCCGCTCCAACACAAATCCGTATCGACGGCGCTCCTGGGTCATCGCCTGTGAAAATCCGAAAGTCAAAGATATTTGAATAAAGTTATGTTTTCACAAACTTCTATGAATGTTAAATGAAGCTTGCTTGGAAAAGTATTCCTAAACGAAATGTTGAGGATTTTTAACATTTTCATTTTTAGGGGTCTACGCAACGCTAGAAAACAGTTACTTACTCGTATATTCAAGGTTTGGCAATAAGCTACAAATGTAGGACCAAGTATTTGAAATTTGCTTTGTTGCAATTTACTTTTATTTTTATTGGCGATATCTATTAAATTATTTGTTATCAAATCAGTCTACAATTTAAATAAAAGGTTATTAGAACTGTCCTTGCTATTGACATTAAACCAACAAGAAAATCAAGACCCAGTCTACAGCGCTGTTTGTTTGCTCGGTTACTTAAATAGAACGGTAAGAATTTCAAACGTTTAGAAATAAAAGGATTTCTCCCCAACTTACATTTTTCAAGCTTTGCTCGCAAAACGCGTCCAATTTCGTCTTTTCCTCTTCCAATATTTGCATGTTCTGCAACAAAAAATACGAATCATGGATAAAAAGGATGCTAGTCAGGTCCTCTGGAACGGAATTGTACCTAAACAAGAAGCAAGCCAAAATTTACATCAATAGAGATAGGTCTCGTTGTTTTACTTTAATTGGGACAGTACCTCAAAAGCTTTAGAATTTCCGAATAAGCTTTGTGAATAGTGAAACGAACTTTAAAACTGTTGAACGAAAACTACATTTCAGAGTTACCCACTGGTTCCAATTAGAGCCACATAGCTTAGTTCTCTATTGTATTTGGATTGCTGGAAAGCTTTAGCTAAAATGAAGTATTTTAAAAACTTTCTCGAATTCAAGAAATCTTAATCGATTCTTAATAAGTTACTTTTGACGTGCCTCTGGGAAATCTTTTAAATAGTACCTTCACTCAATAGTAACTTTCTATGGATTTCTAAGGAAAATAATAAATAATATAATAAGTACTTAAGGGACATTATTAAATACCTTCATCTCTTTGTCCATTGCAGAACCAACTTTGCTGACGTTGGTTTTCTTCTTGCGCTGTTTCTTGATCGTAGCCGCCGCTTTGCTGTAGCTCTCTGAGCGCAGTTTGTGTTGTTGTAAGAACCGCTTTTGTTCAGACTGTATACGAAAAAGGTTCAATTATTAACCGTTTTCATTCCTATTTACTGTATTTTGCTTTCAAATATAAAAAAGAGTACAAATAAAATAAATAGAAGAAATGTATTCACAATATCAAAGATAATGTCAAAAGAAAACTGAAAGGAATAAACACAAAATGAGATCACTTGAAAAGGTAAGGTAAAAAGATAAATCTTTCTTCTTGTAAATATAAACATTGATTTATCCTTAACAGCAACCCGACTGATGTTTAACTAAATTGGAACCTCACAGAGTTCACTTCATACCGTGTTCCATTTATCTTCAATGGGACAATAGCTCGTGTACATAAAAATACCTACGGGACGGTCGTTCACTTCGGACAAAACTTTTTTAATAGAAATTCTTATCTCACAAGATATTAAGCTTATTTGAACTCGGAACCCTGTTTCCTCTTAGTAGTAAACAATCCCTGGAATCACGGGACTATTCACATAAAAGATTATGAAAGGAGGCTTCTTATTGACTGACCTGTACTACTTTTGTATCCTTTTCGAGATTAGTTTCTAGAGGGACCAGCAAGTCTACGTAGAACGCCTTCAGCTGCGATAAACAAACAGATTATTGTTATTGCCAGTTACATTCAATGGGGTCATCCCCCATTAATTAATTCATGTGTCAGCAGTTCCAACACAAAAAAGTTGATGGAAACCTTATAAGATGCTGTTAATAATACATGTTTGCAGTTCAATATTAGCACATAAATGTGTAGTTCTATTTTAAGATTAATAAAGGCAGATAGTAAACAGTGGAAACTTACAATATTCATCTGTTGATCTTGTATCTCGCGGTAGACTTCCACTACTTTCATGAGGGCGGTACCTAAAATGAACATGTATTATTGTAATCGTTTGTGTATAAATGAATTAGGTAGGTTAAATTATCTTCGTAGGAGTAAGGTTTAAGTCACAGCTTTGAATAAATACTTACTTAGTCATAGCCAAACGTCATAGTTTTTTGTACGAATAAGTGCAATGACTGGAAACATACATCGGAAAATAATACTTTTTGCAAGCTTTTTTTAACTCTAGCTCTAATTTTTATATCATCTGGTAGTTACATACCAATATCAGCACAGCCTCCCCAGGTGCCCTGCTGGGCCTGCCTGCCCAGCTTGCCCACGGCATCCACATACAGCCTAGAAGCTGCTGCAGCTCCTAAAATTATTATAATAGTTAATAATTAAACTAAATAACTGAGTAGTAGAAATAACTTAAACATTCTCGACTCAAAACACAAAGTCAGCTAGACTAGAACTTGAAGTTTATACAAGGGTGTACAACTACCCATTAGTAAATATTTTACCTAAATAGCTAGGCCGTTTGGCTTAGTTTGATAGCCCAAGTTAGGAATAAACAACATTCTCCTATCGCATTAGAAGTCAGATAAGGTAATTGCCCAGAATTTACAAGGACAACTTTTTGCGCAAATTAATGTAAAACATTTAGGGCGAGCTCTTTAAAAAATATTACAGAGCTTCGAGAATGTAGGGAATTTATAAAATATGTAAATAGTCTCTCCTGGGGCTTTTAAAATAATGAATTTTACACGCTATTAAGAGTATCTCTAATATTCAGAGCACGGGATGTCACAATTTTGATATGATTAATTCTAGCGATTTAATTTAATTTATCAACATTCGTACCTTGCAAGTTTTGATGTAAAATCTAAGCAAGAAACATTTTAATATTTTTATGATAGGTATAAAAATTACAATTTGCATGCGCTTAGAAACCGAATTAGTCTTTTGACCTGCCGTGAATCATAAAAGTCGCAAGAAGTAGGCCATCGTCACAGACCAAAATGACAAAAGAGTCGCGTCGTAACATCGTTAAGGGTCATTAAAGTGTTGTAAAATGAAACAAATTAACCGCAAACTAGCCCAAAAATAAAGTAGGAACAAGCTCCAAGGGCCATACATCGCGCAGAATGCCCGACTTTATTGCTACTAGAGCTTCGGGCATAATACTGTAGATAAGCCAACAGAGACAATTTGGCACAAACTACGCCCCAGTTCCGTAGCCAAGCAAGCGTGGAACTCTGAGGTTTTGCATATAGATGCGCCCATTTGGCTTACAGTACATAAATTAATTGTCCACGTTTCACTGAATACGCGTCACTCTTTACGAATATTTGGACGACGTCTCCGCGTTTCACTTTCCACACATTTATTGCATACTCAAACTCCGCGCTCATGGAAATGCTTTCTCGTATTCTGAACACGCCTTTATTTGCTCCCTCATTCTTTAATTACATCAAATTATACTTACCATGCAAAGCCTTCAAATACGCCTTTCCGGCCGTTATCATCTGCCGAGCACCTGGATTAAATTTATCCAGGATGTTCTGAAACAAAAAAGAAGGATTTTTGAGCTCAAAGTATTCATTAATGAATTCACAAACAGGCGCGGCCAATCAATCAGCGGGCCATTGTTATTCGAAATAAGTAGGTACTTTCATTTTTATTAAACTGTGAGGTGGCCAGGGCAGGGGGAGTTACGAAATGAGTAATTTATTGATTTTAGAGGTTGATAAAATTAAATGTATTCAACCGCGATAGAAAATGAGGACTTAGACCATAAATAGATGTTGATGGTGGAATGCGGCCTTTCAAGGATGCTGCAGCCGGCCTCAATCGAGGTGCGGCCGCGCAAGTACTCGGCGGCATTCCGCTGCGAATGCTCGAAGACACTTCTTCGATAAACGGAACATTAATTGCGCGTAAATTGTTAACAGCTCCAGCTTTGAGGTTAATGCAATTATCAATTTCGCTTTATGGCACCGCCTCAAAAAGTTATCCGAGATAATATTGTTGTTCAACAGTAAAGAACTAATTTAATTAGCGGTAATGAGTTAATGGTTCATTTCACCAAGCGGTACCGTTTTTCGCTCATTTCTCTTTATTGAATTTAATTATCATAACTTCATTAAACTTTTTGTAAGTAGGTAGCAGAATAAATACACATGTACTAGATCATGTTAACCGTGTCATGCGTTGTGTAGATACACGAGTAATATCCCCATGATTACTCAATTAAGAAATCACAACGCTAAAGCTCAAAGGGCGTCTGTAACAAGTTGGGGTGCATTATATGTGTGACGGTAAATTGGTATATTGGGCGGCGCGTCCTAATCCCCCGGTTATGGGTCTCTACAAAAAGCCAATGCATTCTGCCCAATATCGCCGGGCTGCGGCGCCGTGTGGGGCCGAACTACGTGCTAATGTGTTTTACGACCTCGCCATTCTCTAAATTTTCATGCAAACCTGTGTTTCCAATAGATTCGGGTTTATCGACTTATTCGACTTCTTACTTTCGTTTAAAAAGTCTGGATGACAAGCTATTTTCACCATTTACGGTTCACGGAGTGGTTTAACATAAACACTTTTAAATAAGTTATCTGTCGCCATCTCCGCGCGCCAATGACTGAAATATATGGCTTCGGCGCAAGGGTGGGAAGGAGGCAATTTTTCACGCGGATTCAGACGTACCTTTTTAAAATACCGAACAGGCTGTCGCTGTAGGTAGGCCGGCCGGTTATTGCTCGCGTCGGGGACGTAAATCTTGGAGGGTCGCTAGAACCGGGGCCAAGGGTGAAAAATAGATACGCACTTACAAAAATTAAGTAGACGCCGAAAGTAGGGGACTAACGGGATATTGGAAGAAAGAATTAATGGCAATGACGATTTCATTGTCACTCCTAAAGTTTGGACTTGAATGAATTCTTAATGTGCCTTAACGCGGTCTTCGACTCAATTTGGTGCAGACCTAGATTTTGCGTAATCGCTCTTTCTTTTCGGGACGTTCATGAAAAATCGTAAACGTGACTTAAATTATTTTTTTCCCTTGTGTAAAATTTTGAACATAAGTATTGTAAGTGACAATAGTTATGATTTTATAAAGTCAGATGCCTGCAACTGGGTAAAACCAACTAACTTAGATTTGTATTTGATTTATGCGGGTGGAAAAACGTAAGGTCTAAAGTACTACACTAACGTAGATAACTTGCGTCCAAAAATAAATCACTTGCAAATCTCTTTCGTCTTCACCACATGCATTCAAAATGTATAGAAACAAGTTACATTGTATCCTAACAGTTCCTAATGTAATACGGGCAGCTTTATCCCATCCTCTTTATTTGTGGGGCACGTACCAAACGACATTTGGTACCAAATTGCCTCAGGCAGACTCCGTGACGCGCCGAGCCTCGAACTCCCTCACAAACCCTTTCGGCTAATGTCCTACGCACACGTATGATTTTTTCCGTATTCACCCCTGGAGACTGGTATTGAAATTCATAGGAATCCTTCTGAAGGATCTAACTTTCGGATCACTATTGCTTTTTCGGGTGAACTTTAACTACCTACCGATCACATTATAAAGTCAAATGTTTTCTGATGCCTTTACTTAAGTACTCGTAGTGTTCTTCAAAAGGGTATAAATGTTTGAATAATATTGATTCAATAACTTGGCAAATATTTATTGCAAAATACAACGTTAATTGCTTCGTGGTGGTTAATGTTTCATTTCAGATACCTAATATAACGATTAACAACAGTTGGACGAGTTTATTTATTTATCGGTAATGAATTAATGGTCCGTGTTAGCACTCGATGGTATAATTCGTGTTGCACGTAACGATCCCACTGGTGATCGGCTGTTTGTATGCCTAACGTGATCGGCATTACATTATGTGGCTCAATATTATTGTATTCATTTGAGGGTAAAGCTCAGGAACAAAAACATTACGTCACATAAAACATACTTAGATTAGTGCTTTGTGTTTTTCACATGTAACATTTTAATGAAAATAAATGTTAGGTAGTGTTATTTGAAAAGCAAATACTGACTCTACGTCAGCAAGAACTTTACTTAAACCTTAACTGCCGTTTAACAGAACCAGTAATCAATGCAGTTTCGATCAAAGGGAGCTTCCAGGCTACCTTTTCAAATAGCGGTACATCAGTATTTTCACCTTTGGGATGTAACCCGACGAAGTTAGCTGTAAAACTGCTAGGGATTTTCACGTTTGGGATATTTTCCGAGGAAATAGGAATTTTAAAAAGCTAACACCGACATGATACGAGCAACGGAGATGTTTACTTAGAGCACTTGTTGCCTCTCCACTCTAGGACAGAGGAGACTACGTGTTTACAAGGAGCCAGCGGGCAAACTTTGTCCGCGATATAAAAAATAATGTCTGAAACGTTTTTATGGTTTTTATGCACGTGTCTCGTAACACAATTTTATTTAAAAGCATGCACAAAGGTATGGTCATAATCGTTAGAATTATAATATTTATCTTCAGTGAAAACAAATATTGTACAACAACTGAAGTAAAGCTTTTTACTGCAAATGTTGCAATCAACGTCTGAAGAACGTTCAGCATCAGAAGTTTAATTAAACAAATCGGGCAGCCTAGCTTCATTTGAGTAGTTTAAAATCCATTGAAAACGTAGCTGAGGTAACTGCTAAATTCCAATCTAAGCCCTACCTTTATTCACCGACGGAGTTCTTAACGTAATCACGGCGTGCAATTTGTTACGGATTCAACAATGCATCTCTTAAGTTCTTTGCTCGGTCAAAATAAAAGAGTTCCCTTTAAGTTCGCTAAATGAAGTCGACTACAAAAGGCGGAGTTGAGCGTAATTCAAATGAACGCGACGCCGTACGCTCCCGGCTTCGATTCTATACTTTCAAAACTTTAATTTTTGCGAAGTTTCACTTGCAGGACTTTGTGAATACTTTTAAAACGTGAAAGCGGAAACTTGCGTTATAATGTTTAATCGATTTCAATTCATTATTTCGAGAACGGCGCGTGTTACATTTCACTAATTACTCGAACATAGAAGCGGAAATCTGTGTAATGAATTCTTGCTGGTACTTATTTGTTGATAAATACCGTGTATCTCGTAACAAGGCCAACGTCTTGCGAGTGGAGTTAATAATTGGTATTTATGTATGTAGAACGTTCAAGCATAGACATTAGACTCTATTGTGTGTCGCCATTATTATGTAGATATTTGTGGCCGTTCACAGTCTCTACCATGTCGATTAGAACAACCGGCAAGGTCGGCTTTGGACTCGCATCAGTTCTTTTTGCTGTTCATTGTCAGCAGAACAAGTAACTTGACAAAAATACGGACATGTTTCGAGTTTCACTTATCTATTCATCAAAACTTGTTTACGATGACAAATTCACGCATTAACTCTGGTAAAGTCGTTCGGTAGCTTTAAATGCACAATATCATCCTTGCAAACCATAATAATAATATTAAGGTCAACTAAACTGTATTCCCTGTGCATACTCGTTTTCAATACTTAGTACTTATAGAATCAACAAATAAAGCTTTGGATCATTCCTGTTTATTTTATTAGTATAGTAGAGCTTCATAATATTCGAAGTTAACTTAATCAAAGTGATTCTGAAATCCTATCAGGTTTGGGATGTCGTCAACATGGTTCAAATAACATTAGAATTGCCTTAATCAAATTTGCTGTAATAATGGAATTATTAACGTTATGGAGGAGTGTTTACTTAATACTACACAATACTCGTTGTTACAATGTTGGCTTTGAGTTAATAACTGTTGTTTATCAGGGATATCGTCTTTTTGCCGTCTCTAATTTATCCGTTATTTTTACTTGTAACAAATTGATATTTATTACAAGTGTAGTTCTTTAGCGCTGTTTTATTGCCTTGAGACTTGCAACTTCCCACTCGAGCGCTAGCCAATCATGCCGTCACATAACTTGGAAAGCATTTAGCTCATCGACTACGCCATCATAACTTGCGGCAGACCTTAGTTTACTGCTCACAGGCGCGGTATTAACATCTAGTTATCGAATACCAATAAACATGTAGACTATCAATAATTTCAATCAAGGCTCGCCAAACCTACGACTTACTTGAGTGGGCGTTGGGAATACGAGTATATACCTTCTTAAGTTCACACAGTACACACAAAAGAAAAGCCCCGGAGTGAGGGTACAGTTATTTGATAGTGTTTACCAGATACCTACTGCTAGAAAGGAAATATATGAAGCTTTTAAAGTACCAAATGGTTTACCAATATTATGAAAAGCGTTTAAGTTTAGCGCTTGGGTAGATAAAGCTTGCATGGGTAAATTCATAATGAAAAGGGAAAATTGTTTTTAATCCACTTTTCTCATACCTAATTACCATGTTTTAAAAAATGGAAATGGACAATTTTTTTATCAACATCGTAATATGGAATTTACGATAACTTTTGTTAAAAAGATAAATAGATGCAATAACAATAATTCGTCGCGACATTGCTGCAAGTCCGAACTGCGTAAGCTAGTCCGTGCTTAACTAAAGAAAGG